CGGCCCCAGTCTGGGTGCTTGCGGGAGGCAACTTACCTATGTCTCTCTCTCACATCGATGTTTCTCTCCCTCTCTCTCCCCCTGCCTCCCTCCCTCCCTTCCACTCTCTAAAAAAAAAAAAAGGAAAAATTATCCTCTGTGATGATTAACCAAAAAAAAAAAAATCAGAAATAAGATAAAAATGTCACTTTCACCACTTCTATTTGAAATTGTATTGGGTATTCTATCCAGGACAATTAGACGAGAAATACAAGGATTGGGAAGGAAGAACTCAAACTCAAACTATATTTATAAATGACATGATCTTATAATAGAAAATGCCAGCCTGGTTGGTGTGGCTCAGTGGATTGAGCATCGTCTCATGCACCAGAAGGTCACAGGTTTGATTCCTGGTCAGGGCATATGCTCAAGTTGCAGGCTTGATCCCCAGTGGGGAGTGTGCAGGAGGTGGCCAATAGATGTTTCTATCTCTCCCTCCCTTCCTCTCTCTCTAAAAAAAAAAATCAATAAAAATATTAAAAAGAAAATGCCAAAGAATATACAAAATACAACTGTTACTTAACAAATTCAGTAAAGTTGCAAGGTGCAAGATCACACAAAAATCAGTTGTGTTTCCATACACTAGCAATGAACAATCTGAAAAGGAACCTAAGAAAAATAATTCCTTTTGCAATAGCATCCAAAAGAATAAAATATCTAAGAAATAAATTTAACCAAGGAGGTGAAATACTTATATACTGAAAACTATAAACATTGTTGAAAGAAATTTAAAAAGACCTAAATAAATGGAGATTTTGTGTTCATGGATTGAGAGACTTAATATTAAGATGGCAATACTGCCTGGCCAGTGTGGCTCAGTGGTTGAGCATCAACCCATGCACCAAGAGGTCCCTGGTTCAATTCCTGGTCAGGGCACATGCCCAGGTTATGGGCCAAATCCCTGGTGGGAGGTATGCAGGAAACAGCCAATCGATGCTCTCTCTCATCGATGTTTCTACCTCTCTCACTCTACCTTCCTCTCTTTCTAAAATCAATAAAGAAAAATAAAAGATGGCAGTACTATCTGGTTCTGGATGCATTGCTCGGTTGGTTAGAGTGTCGTCCTAATTCACCAAGGTTGCAGGTTTCATCCCTGGTCAGGGCACATACAAGAAGTAGCCAAAACCCTGGCCAGTTAGAGCATCGGTCCTCAGACCAAAGGGTCATGGGTTCTATTTCCAGTCAAGGGCATGTACCTAGGTTGCAGGTTCAATACCTGGCCCCAGACAGGGTCATGGTCATGCGGGAGGCAACCAATCGATGTCTCTCTCTCATATCAATGTTTCTCTCTCTCCCTCTCTCCCACTCTATCTAAAACAGAAAAACAATGGAAAAAATATCCTCAGGTGAGAATTAACAAAACATACTAAGTGGAAGAGGCCAGATACCAAAGAGCACACATTTATGAAATATCCAGACTAGGCAAATCTATAGAGAAAGGTTAGTGGTTTCCTAGGGCTGGGGGAGAAATGAATTGGGGGGTGAATGTTAATGGGTATGGGATTTCTTTTGGGGTGATGAAAATGTTTTGGAATTAGTGGTAATTGTTGCCCAATTAAATGAGTATACTAAAACCCACTGAACTGTATACTTTAAAAGGGTGAATTTAAAAAAAAATAATTTCTTGCTTTTGTTTTGTTTTTTATCCTCACCTGAGGACATTTTTCCATTTTTTGTTCAGATAGAGTGGGAGGGAGATAGAGGAAGAGAGAGAGAGAGAAACAGCGATGTGAAAGGGACACAGAGTGGCTGCCTCCTGCACAACCCAACCAGGGCCGGGGCCAAACTGCAACTGAGGTACATGCCCTTAGCAGGAACCGAACCCGGGTCTCTCTGGACCACAGGCCGACGCTCTAACCACTGAGCAAAACTGGCCAGGGCGAAAAGAGTGAATTTTAAAAAAGATTTTATAATTGATTTTTATTTATTTATTTATTTTATTTATTGATTTTTTTAGAGAGAGAAAGGGAAAGGGAGAGATAGAAACATCAGTAAGAGAGAACATCGACTGGCCACCTCCTGCTTGCCCCTCACTGGGGATCAGGCCTACAACCTGAGTGTATGCCCTGACTGGAATCAAAAGAGCAACCTCTTGGTGCATGGGTCAATGCTCAACCACTGAGCCACACTGGCCGTGTGATTTTTTTTTAAATCTTCACCCGAGGATATTTTTACATTTATTTTCAGGTAGAGTGGGAAGAGAGAGAGAAACATTGATGTGAGAGAGACACATTGACCGGTTGCCTCCCATACAACACCAACCAGGGCCGGGGACAAACTGCAACTGAAGTATGAGCCCTTGGCTGGAATCGAACCCGGGTCTCTCTGGTCCACAGGTGGACACTCTAAATGCTGAGCCAAACTGATTAGGGCTTATAATTGATTTTGAGAGAGTAGAAGGGAGAGGGAGAGAGAGAAACATTGATGTGAGAGGAAAACATTGATCAGCTGCCTCTTGCACACCCAGCTGGAGATAGAGCACGCAAAAAAAAAAAAAAAAAAAAAATGAACAAAAACAAAACAAAACACCTTGACATATTCAAGAAATGAAGGCCAGCCCTGGCTGGTGTGGCTTAGTCGGCTGAGCACCATCACAATGTCACATGCACCAAAAGGTTGCTGGTGACATTCCAGGTCAGGGCACATGTCCAGGTTGTGAGCTTGATCTCCAGTAGAGGGCATGCAGGAGGCAGCCAATCCATGTTTCTCTTTCTCTCCCTCTCTCCCTAAAACAAAATTTAAAAAGTAAATAAAAAGAAAAGAAGTAAAAGCCAGTATGGTTGGAAAACAGGGAGTGGTAGGATTCATTCATTCATAAACATGTATGTGTGCTTAACATATATTCTAGACACTATGTATACAGTATCAAATATAACAAAAAACTCAGTAAGTCATAATAATTCTATACCAGTATTATCCCTATTTCACACAAAGAGGTTAAACAATCCACTTAAGCTTCTGCAGTCACAGAGCTAGGATCCCATCCTGCAGTGTTGGCTTCCCAAGTTGGGTTTTTAGCCTCTAAACTGTTCTGCCCAAATTACATTCCCACTGGACCCATAGGGAGCTGACTGGGTAGAGCCTAATATGTCACAGTAGGGGATTCAGAATTTATCCTTTGTGCAAGGAGATGTTATTCAAGGGTTCCATGCAGGGGATAACTTATAAGGATTGCTCTGGCTGGTTGGTGAGAATAGGCCCCTGGAGTTGAGAATTCCATCAGGAGACCAGTTCTATCAGGTGTTCCAAGTGAAAAGGTGGGCAGGTCCAAGCTGGTGGCCTTTTTAAAAAAAAATTTTTTTATTGATTTTAGAGGGGAAGGGAGAGGGAGAGAGATAGAAACATTGATGAGAGAGAACATCAACTGGCCACCTCACTGGGATCAGGCCCACAAAAACTGGGCATGTGCCCTGACTGGGAATCAAACTCTTGGTGCATGGGTCACACCACTGAGCCACAACGGCCAGGCAGCATTCTTTCATTTAATCTTTTCAGTTCTGGGATGTGGGTAATGGTGTCCACATTTTATTTATTTATTTATTTTGTACAGATAGAGTGGGAGGGAGAGAGAGGAAGGGAGAGAGAGAGAGGAACATCGACGTGAAAGGGACACATCGAGTGGCTGCCACCCACACGACCAACCAGGGCCGGGGACCAACTGCAACCGAGGTACATGCCCTTAGCGGGAACCGAACCCGGGTCTCTCTGGACCGTAGGCCGACACTCTAACCGCTGAGCCAAACTGGCCAGGGCGGTGTCCACATTTTATAGATGGGGGTAAAGTTAGGTATCTGGAAGCCTGAAAGACCTTAGAGCCAGTCCTGTTTCTGTTCAACATCTGATTCAGCTGAACTTCTGAATCCAGGTCTTATATTTGATTATTTAATAGTACCTCAAACTCATGTATTCTCTCACCATGAGGTAGAGAATACCCTATTTTAAAAATGAAGTAACGAAGGCTTCGAGGGCCAGAACTTGGTTTGTTCAATCCCACCCTTCTGAGCTCCTGCGGGAGCCCACGTGCCCCTGCTTCCCTCCCACCTCCCCGAGTCCTTTCTAAATCACATTTGACTGTGTGGCTCCGAGGCTAATTACCAACTAGATAATTCATGCTCCGTGATACTGAATCTGGAGTCCTCCGGTTCCCAAAGTGTTCACACCCCATGTTTGGTCCCTCAGTCTATCTGGAAAACGTCTACTCATTTTTCAAGACCAAACTGGTATTGCCCATCAGATCCTTTCCAAGGCCAAGTGCTTTCTTGTCAGTGTTCCACAGACTCTCTTCACATGCCCTGAGCAGACTGTACCTGACAGCGCCGTCTCCTTCCTGCTTATAGCTGGTTCCCAGGAGAGGGCCTGGGACCTGGTGAGCATACTGAACAAGACAGGTTGGAGTCTTGAGCATGTCCCCTAACCGCAGGTGTGGATTTGGTCTCCAGGTAGAGGACAGAATCAGCACTACCCAGAGGTGCAGCAGCACCTAGTCCAGAAGGCTCAGACACATCCCAGGCCCTTCACACACGCCACTCAACAGGCTCATTTTTTTCTCTCTTTCTTTATTGTTAGACACAATGTATAAACACAAAACAAAAAACAGCAGGGATCCTCTCTGACCTCAAAAAACAGCAAGGAAGGAAGGAATTCCAGAAACTTTTTAAAAGTACAAGTCACATTAGTGCCCAGACCAAGGGTGTGGCTAGCAGGCCACAGCCAGCAGAGCCAGGACAACCCCACGGAGTCCTGCACCAGCAGCCAGCCCACACAGGAAGAATGCCGACCAGGAGAAAACTCTATGCCAACAAGCCTTCTCCACTTGCAGAAAAGGACAGTTAAAAGTTCCCTCCTCCCACCCTTGCTCCCTTCAGGGCTACAACTGAGGAAAAGGAGTGCCCCATGCTACTCCGATCCCCTCCCCTGCTGCCCTAGCTCTGCTGCCTCAATACCTGGCATTAACCAAAGCCTGTCCCAGCTCCGAAACTGACTAGACCCACCAGGTGCCCAAAGTTCACCAGGGAGGAGTGGGTTGGTGAAAAGGCTGGGTGTGAAACCAAACTTCTTTATTTGAAGTCATCACTGGGGCCGTTTCCTGCTGCTTATTTGTTTGCTGGCCTGTTCTTCCAGCTGCATGGCCAGGCGCAAGGCCTTGATGACATCTGGAAGGAAGGGGAGGTGGTACACTAGGGGTTAGTGGGTGTCTCAGAGGTCCCATTCCCTCAGGGCAGAGCTGCCATCACCAGCAGAGGCCCCATCCTGCCACATCCCATCCAGTTACACCCACCTTGCAGCGCTGAGAAGTGCTTGGCTTGCTGGGTCAGAGCAGACTCAGTCTTGTTAACAAAGGTCTCCAAGTCATAGTCTGGCTGCTCGGTCATCTCAGAGAGCTCAAGCCAGCCTGGCCCTTGCTGCAATGACACAGGGAGAACCCTGTCAGTTCAATGACCAAAGCAAGTCACTCCCGAGGCCCCACCAACTGCAATGCCGTTGCCCATTCCTCTAGGCATGGCCCACACCCTGCCTCCTGAGCATCTCCCGCAGAAGTCCACAGACTGAGCTCATCCTCTTTCATACTCCAAACCTGTCCCTGATACAACTCCCTTCAAAGGCATCCACTGTCCTCATAATGAAGTCTAGGTCTCTGGTATGAACCATAAGGCCCTTTAGTATCAACTTCCTCCTGACCTATCCACAGCTTAATCTCCCTCCATCCATCTTTTGCTCTCACTTTTTGCTCTGACCAGAGTGAACTTCTCAGTCTTCCTAAAAGTACCATGTCCTTTTAAACGTTTGTACAGGGAGGACATGCCTAAGCAATTATCCTTCATATTCCCTCCTCGTTTCCAGGGGCCCTAAGCTCTTCCTTTCTGCTCTGCACTGAGGACCCCATTGTTACGATGCACTTTTGGGCTGCTCTTCCATAACGGGGATCATGGCAGTGCTAGTTCAAAATAAACACTTCCTAAACACTGACCACATGCTGGGCACTACTGAGCACTTTATTTTTTATTATTTTTTTTTAATCCTCACCTGAGGTTATTTTTCTATTTATCTTCAGATAGAATGGGAGGGAGAGAGAAGGACACATTGACTGGTTGCCTCCTGCACGACCCCAACCAGGGCTAGGGATTAACTGCAACTGAAATACGTGCTCTTAGCTGGAATGGAACCCACAACTCATTGGTCGGCAGGCAGACACTCTACCGCTGAGCCAAACGGGCCAGGGCACTGGGCACTTTAAAAGCACATCACTTGCCCCGGCCAGTTTCGCTCAGCGGTTGGAGCGTTGGCCTGCGGACCAGAAAGTCCCGGGTTCAGTTCCTGCTAGGGGCATGTACCAAAAATAAATAAATAAATAAATAAATAAATGCATGCACGCACGCACGCACGCATGCACATCACTTAACCCTCAGATAAAATCATCCTGTCTTAGTCATTTTAGGGATGAAGAAACTGAGGTCCAGTGAGGCTAAATGACTTTCACAAGAAAATCGGCTTACAAACAAAAGAATCAGGATTGAATAAGTCTTACTTTAGAGCCTACTATTCATACTTCATGTTTTTGATCGTTGGTCTCAGCACAGAACTGGCATATAGAAAGTACTCACTGAACATTCACTGAATAACAAGGTCCCTGCATATAAACCACCCTCCAAAACCCCCAATCCAGAGCACGGTGGAGCAAGACTAGCTCCAGCTAGGGATGGAAGAAATCTTGTGTGCGCCAGGCTAAAGAAGGGGGTGTGGTATTAGCTGCCTTAGAAGAATGGATGGGCCCTGGCCAGTTTTGCTCAGCGGTTAGAGCTTCAGCCTGCGGTCCAGAGAGACCCGAGTTCGGTTCCTGCTAAGCACACGTATCTCGATTGCAGTTTGTCCCCGGCCCTGGTAGGGTTGTGTGGGTGGCAGCCACTTGATGTGTCCCTTTCACGTCAATGTTTCTCTCTCTCTTCCTCCTACTCTATGTGAACAAAAAAGGGAAAAATGTCCTCGGGTGAGGTTAAAAAAAAAGAATGGATGGATAAATAAGTAAGAATTAAGGAGCCCTGGCTGGTTTGGCTTAGCGGTTAGAGTGTTGGCCCTTGGACTGAAGGGTCCTGAGTTCGATTCCTGGTCAAGGACACATACCTGGGTTTGATCCCTGGCCCATATCTGGATTGTGCAGGAGGCAACCAATCAATGTGTCTCTCTTACATAGATGTTTCTCTCTCTCTCTCCCTTCCTTCCACTCCATCTAAAAATCAATGGGAAAATATCCTCAGGTGAGGATTAACCAAAAAAATTAAAATAAAAATTAAGGAATGTTAGGGTAGCGGGCTGCCTCTTGCAATTTCAATCTGAAGATGTATAGGAGCAAAGCCCGGGTCATATTCAAAGAATGGTGCTGAGCACAGCTGCGGGCCTGTGCTAACGTGGATCTTCGGTCCCTCTCTGGACAGGGCCAGTTTCCCACCTGTACAATCTCCTTGAGCTCTTCAATGGCCCTCTCCTCCAGCTCCCTGATCTGAGTCATGGCTTCATTAAAGCTGGACATATGGGAAGACAGTTCCTCTTCTTCCTTGGAAAACTAAGGGGAACAAAAGGAGAGACACAACTGTATGGCCAGGTTCTCATCTCAGCAGGCTATGTTTCTGTCTTGCTAGGCCCCACCCTGCCCCTTACATTGCCTGTGATTAGGGACGCATGAGAGCTGACTTCTGTCTCTTCTGTTTCCATTTGAGTTGGCTGCTCCCCACTGGGCCCACTGTGGGGGCTCAGCTCCTTGACCCTGAGGAAACAGGAAAGTCTCAGATCCCACAGCAACCTCCTCGGCACTCACAAGAGTGCTGTACCAATAAGACTCCAGGCTTGAGACTTCAAGGGGATGGAGTAGCAGCTTGCCTTTGGCCTAGGAAACAACCTCATGCACACTGACTCCCTATCAAGGCCTGGAGGGCACTGGGAGAGACCTCCAGCATCATGTCCAAATTCCTGAGCCTCAGGTTCACTGACTCTCAAAGAATAGACAATAGGTACTGTGCCCCAGAGCCTCCTCCCTCTTTCATCACTGCCATTCCTTTCTCCATTCCCACACCCTGTTCCCCATCCCGCATGGTCGTAGGTACTAGTACCTGTCTGCGTATCTTAGTGTATTTAAAGTATATTCACAGGAGCTTATGCCTGGTGAGATCATGGCAATCTGAAAAAGAGGGAATGGTAGTTAAAGGTTGAGGATCATGGGGTAAGAGAGAGAGAGGTCAAGGATCATGGGGAGAGGCTGCCAGGAGGAGTTTCTCTGAGCCGCTGAACCCACATGGTATTGGGGGGAGGGCTCGTTAAGCACCCACTCTGTGCCAATCAACTTGCTCCATGGGCAATGTAATTAAGGCTCCTTAAAAATTGATTCCCTGCCTTTAAAGGCACATCTTACTACTCCCTGATTTTTTATCTCTTTACTACTGATCCATTCCTCACATCAAGGTCACACCTTAAGACTCCTGCTGGAACCCTCATTTCGTCCAGGCTCAGGGAGAAGGGTTTGGAACTTAATCAGAAACCCCCATCTTCCCCCGCAGACAGGGGAGGTAGAGCAGACCCTAGCTAGAAGGGCTTGTGGATAAAAATAACAAAGGGACAAAAGCCACTAAAGGCCATAGTCCTTTATTTTCTAAGCTGGGAGCCAAGGACTCTGAGGGAAGTCACAGAAGCCAGGATTTCTCTCTCCTGCTTCCCCAAAAGTCCTCCTTCTGAATTCTGGAGCCTCCTTTCCACCCGGTAAGGGAGGAATGACCTCCCCCAAATCCAAAGCTGCAGGGACATACAGTAAAAAGAGGACATCTTTTCCTCCCCTCTTGAGTAGTCAAAGAGGAGCCTAGAACTGAAAGGCAGGGATGAAGCAAAGTTAAGTTAGAGTCTGGAAACCCAGACAGCCAAAGGCCCCAGGCCTCTTGCCCAGGACAGGACTAGACGTCCTGCTGCGCCATCTCCAAAGTGCCCCTACTCACCATACAGGTCCTCGAGTTCTCCCCGATAAAGGAGTCCCGCAGCACCTGCGTCAGCTTGCTCTCGCGGAACGGGGTGTGAGCCTTGTTCTGTCCCAGGGCCCTGATGCACTCCTGTGGGGCAGCAAGTGCAACTGAGGTCTCTTCCTTTCACGCTGCCCACTTCCTCCGTCCACCAGCAGTCCCCCAGACCAACCACCTCTAGCTAGCCCCTGCCACCTTCAAAGCCAGGAGACTCTTGTTGATTTCTGCGCCTTCCATGCGGGTCTGTCGGTCAGCACTGGAAGTGTCCGCACCTCGCTCGTTCCCTGCCAGATCCACCAGGGAGAATTTCCCGTGCATTCTCCCTTTGGTTCGAAGAAGAATCTGGAAGCAGGCATGGGAGCGTGAAGAGTTGGAGTTGGCAAATGTCTGCCCAGAGGTCCTGTGGTAAAGGAGGGCAAAGAAAGGCTATGAGCCTCTGAAGTCACCAGCCACCATAGTCCATAGCAGTGACATCTCTGGTAAGAGAGGGACATAGGTTACGACTCTTAAGAATTCCTGTCTTTTTGTCCCAGATTTCTGTTCTGCCTTCCCTGGGCAGAAGCTCTCTCTCTAGCTCTAAGTAAGTATTCCTGGCAGCCAAAGTAATTGGATTCTGTGTTAGGGGTGTGGCCCGACATGGGGGCCTATGAAGACGTGGGAAAAGATGCGCTCCTCTGTTGCAGGGCACACAGGGAAGGAAGGGTTATCATAAACCACTTGTCAAAACTTGAGGGCAGCTTGCTCCCCAAGCCTCCATAAGCTGCCCAACACTCCAATGCACCACGCCGAGGGCCCTAGAAGAAGAGCACTTCCTACCTCCATACAGGGGCCATGGCCCCAGCCCTTCCAGCCTAGAACAGACTCAGAGCTTCTGTCTCCCATCACAGAGGGAGGGATTGGCAAAGAGAAACCCAGATAAGTCAGGAAGCCTTCCTTGGTTCGAGTTAAGACATTTTGAGTTGTTCCTGATGAGCCTCTTTGAGACTCCTTACCAGAGGCCTCCACAGTCCTCCACAAGCCTGGGAAAGTGGGCTCTGTGGAACCACGAGGAGCTCAGAGCTAGTCTCTGTCACCTGAACCAGGCATCAGAAAGTGGTCCCTTCCCTCTCGCCAGGATTCTGACCTGCAGGCACTGCCCATGTCGATCATCTTGATGACGTCGTCAGCACAGTTAACCAGGTGCTCCTGCAGCCCCAGCACCTGCACCTGCTGCTTCCCATCCTCCAGCACGCGCAGCTTGGCCTTCTTGTTCAGCAGGTCGAACAGCTGTGCCGGGAAGGGGAACAAGGCTAAGGCCACCAGGCACCAGGTACCCGGCCTAACTCCTCCCTCCCTCAGGGCCTGTCCCAGCTTAGACAAGGGCAGGCAGCAGGAGAGAGACAGACAGACAGAGGCTGAGCTGGGCAGACTAGCAGAGGGCTTGGGTTCTGAACTGAGCTGCCTCTGTTTGATGTGACCCTGATACTTCACCAGCTGTGTGAGCCTGAATAAGTACTTAACTACTCTAGGGTTATTTCTCATCTGCACAATAGTGATGATAATACTTCCTTGTAGGGTTGTTGTGATTAATAAATTAATTGAAACAAGTGTTTAGAATAGTGTTTAGCACATGTCACATTAATAATCAACATTAGCAGCTCTGGCCAGGTACCTCAGATGGTTGAAACATCATCTCAATAAACCACGATTGCAGGTTCGATCCCTGCCAGATCAAAAGGGACACATACAAGAATGACCCTGCTTTGGCCCTGGCTGGTTTTGCTCAGTGGTTAGAGTATTGGCCCAAGGACGAAAGAATCACCTTGCCCTGGCCAGTGTGCCTCAGTGGTTGGAGTATTATCCTATGCTCCGAAGAGTCTCAGGTTTGATTCCCGGCCAGGGCACATACTCAGGTTGCAGGTTGGATCCATAGTCGGGGGCACGTACAGGAGGCAACTGATAGTTTATCTCTCTCACATTGATATTTCTCTCTCTTTCTTTCCCTTTCTCCCTTCCTCTCTCTCTAGTTTTTTTTTTTTACATTTTTATTTATTGATTTTTAGGAAGAAAGATCGAGAGAGAAACATCAATTTGTTCCACTTATTGATGCGTTCATTGGTTACTTCTTGTATGTGCCCTGACAAGAGATTGAACCTGCAACCTTGGTATATCAGAATGACTCCCTTCCTGTCTAAAATTGGTGGGGACATTTAAAAAAGAAAAATAAAGAACAAAAGAAAAGAATCACCAATGAATGCATAAATAAGTGGAACAACAAACTGATGTTTCTTCTATCTAAAATCAATGAATAATTTTATAAATATTAAAAAAATAATAATCAGCATTAGCTATTATTATCTAGATCCTGCTCTGAGTAAAGCAACTCTGCAAAATCATAGAGGGGTAGGGGTGTGTGTGTGTGTGTGTGTGTGAGAGAGAGAGAGAGAGATTTATACACATACGGGGGGGGGGGTTGGGAGGGAGAAAGAATGAATATGAATGAGAATAAATATGTATGCTCAAAGGAAAAAGAGAATTATGAAGGAGGTGGGTCAAAGGAGCACAGGGCACATTCTCCTCCTGAGAAGGAGCCCTGAGGAGTATTCTTGGCATTCTTACTGAGCTTGAGTACCATCCCACCATCAAATGAAAGCCCCCACACATATCACGGCAGAGTGGCCCAAAAGCTTCACAGCCCACAGATTGTTTGGTTTCTACCATTTTTGGCAAACCTCAAGGTTTTACAGTTCAGGGGCCCCAAAAGCATAAACAGGGTCTCCTTGCCAGCTACCTTCCCATTATAGATCTCAAAGAATGTCACATAGACTTCCAGGCCCAGGTTTCGGTAGCGGGGCTGATTCTTCAGGAGGAAGACGTCCCGGGCTATGGGAGAGAGTGTGGATTAAGTAAGCGACCTGCTTTCTGTACCCAACCCCACTGTGGCAGAACACATTACTTACAGGCCATTGCATAGATTCCTTTGGATGCATTCTGGGCTTTTCCTCCACCCATAGTCTGCAAAGGGAAGGGGCAAAAGACCTTGGTAAAGGACCCTTGGCTAAGGCTAGAGCACTACTGGCTCCATCACCCCAGTGGGCCATACCAAAGTAGGAGGCTGGACCTCTTAAGGCCCTTCCCTGCACCTGGCACAGCAAGCATATCCGGTGATGGACATCTGCACTGAGGGGATTTTCTACAAGAAATTCATTGTCGCCCTGGCCGGTTTGGCTCAGCGGTTAGAGCGTTGGCCTGCGGTCCAGAGACCCAGGTTCAGTCTCCGCTAAGGGCATGTACCTCGGTTGCAGTTTGTCCCCGGCCCTGGTTGGGTCATGTGGGAGGCAGCCGATGTGTCCCTTTCACGTCAATGTCTCTCTCTCTCTCTTCCTCTCTCTCCCTCCTACTCTATCTGAACAAAAAGTGGAAAAAATGTCCTCGGGTGAGGATAAAAAAAAAAGAAATCCATTGTCTTCCTTTCCAGGGTCCCTGTTGCACCTCCATGGGCACACTCACACCCTGCCATGCCTGAGTACTCACATGTGTCTTGCCACTTCCTGTCTGGCCATATGCAAAACAGGTGGCTTTTCCGCCTTGGAAAATTGTGTGTACCAGTGGCCTTGCTGTGAACCTAGGAGAAAGGATAGGGAAGAGTGTACATCTCTGACCAGATTGTGCCCCCTGGAACATGGTCCTGCTGCCCTTCCACTGCAGAATTCCTGGGTCCTCGATTTCTCCTTCCAAGCACTAGTACTCCTCTCCTGCAAAGGGGTCCCATCTGAACCCAGCCCCACTTACAAATCTGAAATTCTCCTAGTTGACTGGAAGGGGGCTGGGCTGACTTGCCAAGAGCAAGCTGATGGCCTACACTCTAACGGAGCCACCAGCGCCTGCCCCCGACTCTGGAGCTATAAGATGAAAGCCTGAATTTAGCAATCAACTTCCAGCATAAGATACACTACAAAGATGAGAGGAAACCCTCTCAAGTAGGAGCCTAAAATATTTTAGTCTCTGTGGGCCATGCAGGTCTGTCATATTTTGAAAAACAAAACAAAACAAAACAAAAAACCCCACAAAACAATCCTTTAAAAACATAAAAACCATTCTTGGTTTTAGAGACATATAAAAAGGGATTGTGGCCCAATTTGTCCTAGAAGTTTGTCAACTTCTGGTTTGGAGCATGTTGTCCAATAGAACTTACTGTGATGATGGGAATGTTCTATATCTACATTGTCGAATAGTAGCCACTTCCACATGTGGCTACCAAGCACTTGAAATGTGACTTGTGCCCTGGCCGGTTTGGCTCAGCGGTCAGAGCATCAGCCTGCGGTCCTGAGAGACCCGGGTTCGGTTCCCACTAAGGGCGCGTACCTAGGTTGCAGTTTGTCCCTGGCCCTGGTCGGTTGTGCGGGTGGCAGCCACTCAATGTGTTCCTTTCACATCGATGTTTCTCTCTCTCCGTTCCTGTCTCTCCCTCCCACTCTACCTGAACAAAAAATAGAAAAATGTCCTCGGGTGAGGATAAAAAAAAAAGAAATGTGACTTGTGTGATGGAAGAATCGGATTTTTAATTTTATTTAACTTTTATTTATTTACTTGTTTTTATTTTTTTTAATCCTCACCTGAGGACATTTTTGCATTTATCTTGAGATAGAGAGGGAGGGAGAAAGAGAGAGAAACATCGATGTGAGAGACATACGTTGACTGGTTGCTACCCACACAACCCCAACCGGGGCCGGGGACAAACTGCAACTGCGGTACATGCCCTTAGGGGGAACCAAACCCGGGCCTCTCTGGTCCGCAGGTCGAACCTCTGAGCCAAACCAGCCAGGGCTATTTAATTTTTTTTTTTTTAATCCTCACCCGAGGACATTTTCCCATTTTTTGTTCAGGTAGAGTGGGAGGGAGAGAGAGGTACAGAGACAGAGAGAGAAACATTGATGTGAAAGGGACACATCGAGTGGCTGCCACCCACACAACCCAACCAGGGCCGGGGACAAACTGCAACCGAGGTACGCGCCCTTAGCGGGAACCGAACCCGGGTCTCTCAGGACCGCAGGCCGACACTCTAACCGCTGAGCCAAACCGGCCAGGGCTATTTAACTTTTATTAAACAGCCACATGAGGCTAGTGGGTGCTTTATTAGACAGAGCAGTCCTAGAGTTTGCTGAGTCTGCAAAGCCCAGTGGGTAACGGGTGGCTGCACAAGACGCTGGAAGAACCGCTGAAGCCTGCCCAGCCCAGCCTCAGAGAAGCAATGGGTAATACCTCACTTCTGGTCCACTCAAGGATGCACTGCTAATGCTGCCAAATGGCATATGGCAGCCCAGGAGCCAGAGCCAGAGCCAATTCCAGCTCTATGTGATAGCTGATCCAAAGGAAACACGAGATGAGGCCAGGAAGGGATTTAGAGTTCAGCATGTCTGTGAGCAGTGTTACCACAATGCCTTGCATAGAAAAGACCAAACCGGGGGGGGGGGGGGGGGGGGGGAGGATGGGACACGGACGGACAAGGGACTAACCTATAGATGACTTCATTTGAAGCTGTTTCATCAAATGCAAAGTCAAAGCAGAATGCCTGATTCTCCAGATACTTTGTTAAGTCCACTTTTAACTTGGGCTCATGTACGAAGAGGAGACACTTGCTAGGAACGGAAATCACATCAATTTCTTTCTTGGCCAATTCTGCAGAACGAGAGTATTTTCAGGGGATGCTCCCTGGACACAAGAACCCCCAGTCACTCCAAAGCCCCTGACTGAATGGAGTTTACCTTGTTTATTCAGCGGACGTTTCCTAACACAAACGCATATCCTGTGCTCTTCGATCTTCAAAATGATGAGAGGAGACAACCAGCCAACAAAAGGTTAGGTCAACATTAAAGAAGGCTTCTCCAGAACCCCTTCCCTCTAATCCCATGTCTGGCCCAGTCAGGGGCCAAGATCTAACACTAGGACCCTGCCTTCCCATTAGTTAGTCAAGAGCACAGAGAGCGCTGGCCAGTATGGCTCAGTGGTTAAAGTGATTCTTTGGTGCCTGGGTTCAATTCCTGGTCAAGGGCACGTTACCCGGGTCACAGGCTCAATCCTTGGCCCCGTTGGGGCATGTGAAGGAGGCAACCAACTGATGTGAGAAAGACACATCAAGGTTTCTCTCTCTCTCTCTCTCCACCCCCTTCTCTAAAATTCAATGGAAAAATATCTTCAGGTGAGGATTAACAACACCAACAAAGAGCACAGAGGGTAGCTCTGAATTTTCTTCCCAATTTTCTCACTCTGCTGCCTACAGGTTTCAGCTCCCTTTCATGATTATTAGTAAGAATTTTGCTAACCTATGGAAGTGGGGAGAGTGGGGCTAGAGGGGAGTTTATAAAAATCAGACCCTCCCATCCATGTCTCACTAACTCCAGCCCACCAAAGGATATTAAAAATACCCTCAAAGGTGAGTGAAGATTTCTCAATACTCTCCTTTAAAGAGAAGTTTTCTGTCTCTTAATTGTACACCTACTCAGGAAGGAAAGGAAGAAGCCCTTTGGGTTTACCTACAGGATCAGTCATAGTAAGTGGATGACAATCCAAAGTAGCCCGAAATTCTTTAATCATCCGGGCAAACTCCCAGTTTGGAAAGCTGTTATCATATTCCTGTTTGGGACAAGAACAAAAAGAAACTGACTGCTAAGAGGTAAGTGCTCTTAGACTTCAATACTGAGCAAAAGTAACATTTCTTCATGTGCAACCGGCCCATCAGTTGACAAAACACCCATAAGATCTCACTTTCTTCCACCCTGGCTCTAGGCTGAGAGCCCAGGAACAAAGAACTGGCAGGGGGGCCTAGGCATGCATCCATCCACACTAGGAGCTGGGGTGAGGGCCACTGTCCCACATCTTAGATCAGAAGGCTGGGATTCCCCAGAGCAATGAACCCAACTAAGGGGAAGTGCTCCAATCTAAAACTGCATTGCAGCACCTCCACCCCATACACACAGCGAGGAGGTTGGGGGAGAACAGGCAACTGTGCCCAGCAGCCCGTGAACCACTGTCCTGTGATGGGCGTGTCCACTGGACAGTCAGCATGAAATTGCCCTCATCTGAAGGCCCTCAAAAAAAATATCTCACTTATTTGTTCTCTGAATCCTGATAAAATACCAGTTAAACTTCCTGGATATCAGAACTGGAGCCTCAGTAATGCTAGGGTCCAAACCATATCTGTTTTGCCATTAACACAGCAGTTAAGGATACCTGTCCAAAAACCCTTGCCCTAGTTTCCCAAGAAAGGTACCTGAGCTCGCTTTATTCTCATTTCAGAGATCTGGGCCCTCTTCTCTTCTCGTTTGTTCTTCATTTTTTCCATTTCCTTCACAATACATGATTTCCTCCGAACTAGGGGGAGAAAGTTCATTCTTTCACTTGTTTAGGCCAGCCGGCCTGCTCTTCTCCAGCTGTTGTAGTGATTCCTGGGCCTTTCCCAGGACTAAGCCTTTTCTAGACCCCTGCAGTTACATCACCATATGCAAGGGGAGGAAGCGGTAGATGTCACTCTTGGGATGGCCAAACCCACAAAGTAGATTTGCTAACGTGAGTACTCCAGGTCTGACCCAAGCTCTCCCCGTACTTCTGTGGCATTTTCTAATCAACCAGAAGAGGTGGGACCAATCTCTTCTTGGTCTTATGGTTATTCTGGGCTGTTCTTCATGTATCAGCCAGGACACTATAGTTGCGACAACACTTCAATTACATCAGAAGGTTCCTGCCAGCTTAAGGGGATATGGGGTCATCTCTTGGAAAAAATTAATTACATGGCCACAGGGAAACGTGCCCCCAAGTGACAAATGCAGTTTGAACTCAGGTGCCAAGCCAGGCCAGGTTTGGGACAGGATGTACTATTTGTCCTGCACTAGGAACAAGGCAGCAGACAGCTCAGCATGTCTACCTGAGTTCACAGGGTTTGCAGAAGAGCTGCCTCGCATGGAATGGACTTGCTCTTCCACCTCCTCGCTGACCATCGTGAAAGGTATTTCAGCTACTGCAGGGCAGGAGTTCCTAGGGGGGCCAGCTGTGGGGGAACAAGAGTCATTGGAGAAGCAGGCAGGCTACCACAGCTGTACTCAGCTGAGCCCGAGAGGGTCATGGCCCAGGAGGAGCGCTACTGACCTAAGCTCAGCAAGGGCTCAGGCTCCTACAGTATGAGCAGAGCTTGGGCTTTTCTCTTCACCACAGCCCACACCCTGAACCAGACCAGTATGTCTTCAGGGGCTGGCTCCTGGGGTCAACAAATCATAAAAGGCTGTGTGAGTACCTCAGTATGGGCTTCACCATGAAGGGAAAAGCCTTTCAAGGCAAGAATTCCTTAGGCTTGACCCAAGCATGGGTTCTTAGGCTAGGCCTTTCTAATCACTGGGAAAAAAGCCAAGCCTTTCTGACTTCTCAAAAGCCTTGGAACTCAGGTGGTTAAGAGGAGCAAAGAGTGAAAAGCCAGCAATAGTGGAAACCTGAGCAACAAGTAACAATATTAAATCCCGAAGGGCACAACCCGTGATGACTCATTACTTCCCACACTTGATCGAGATCCTTTTGTTTACCTTCATTTTCTAAGAGCTAAATTAGATATATGCAAAATGTAATGACTGTGTATCTTACAAAGTCTGCATCTACTTTATATATCTAATAAAAGTTGACAATTAAAGGTAGTTTTAAAATGCCAAATATATAAAGTTCAAAAAGAGAAAAAGCTAATTCATGCCATTACAAGTCAGGATTAGCCCTGGACAGTGTGGCTCAGTTGGTTGGGCATTGTCCTATGCACCGAAAGGTTGCCAATTTGATTCCTGGTCAGGGTACATGCCCAGGTTATGGGTTTGATCCCTGGTAGGGGGTATGCAGGAGGCAGCCTATCAATGTTTCTCTCTTACCTCTATGTCTCTCTCTCTCTCTAAAAATCAATGAAAAATCTTAAAATAAAAAGAAGTCAGGCCTGGCCAGTGTGGCTCAGTGGCTGAGCAGCGACCCATGCACCAAGAGGTCGCCAGTTTGATTCCTGGTCAGGGCACATGCTCAGGTCATGGGCCCGATCCCCAGTAGGGAGCATGCAGGAGGCAGCCAAGTCAGTTTTCTCTCTCACTGATGTTTCTGTCTCTCTCTCCCTCTCTCTCTAAAATCAATAAAGAAAATGTTTAAAAAAAAAAGTCAGGCCCTGGCCAGTTTGGCTCAGCGGTTAGAGCGTCCGCCTGCGGTCCGGAGAGACCCGGGTTCGGTTCCCGCTAAGGGCATGTACCTCGGTTGCAGTTTGTCCCCGGCCCTGGTTGGTCGTGCGGGTGGCAGCCACTCGATGTGTTCCTTTCACATCGATGTTTCCCTCTTTCTCTCTTCCTCTCTCTCCCTCCCACTCTGTCTGTACAAAAGGTGGAAAAATGTCCTCGGGTGAGGATTAAAAAAAAAAAAAGAAAAAAAAAAAAGTCAGAATTAGCCCGGCCGGTGTTGCTCAGTGGTTGAGTGTTGACCCACGCACCAAGAGGTTGCAGGTTCAATTCCTGGTCAGGGCACACACCCAGGTTATGGGCTAAATCCCCAGTGGGGCGCATGCGGGAGGCGGCCAGTTGATGTTCTCTCATTGATGTTTCTGTCTCTCTCTCTCCCTCTCCCTTCCTCTTTCTCTAAAATCAATAAAAATGAAAAAAAGAAGTCAGGATTATAGGTTCCGTTGGGGGCTTAGGAACTGGATGACTATGGGGGACTTTTGGGTGCTGGTAATACTCTGTTTGATCTGGTGTTAAGTTACATGCATGTGTTTGAGAACTATATACTCATATTATGTTCACTTTTCTATATATACTGTATATTATGTTTCAATAAAGTAAAAAAAAAAAAAGATATTTTCCAGATAAGGGAGCTGTGGGACAGGGGCAGAACCGTACTAAGCCAGGGGAGTGCAGGAATCAGGATATTCCAGGACAGGTTCAGGCACTGTGTAAAGAGCTGCTGCAGAACCTCCAATAGGGAGAACAGATTCATTACTCACTAGGCACTAAAAACTGCTTGCGGGAATTAGCAGGCGCGGGCAGCTCCACCTCCATGCCATCCTCCTGAGTGGTGATGCGAACCTCTGAGAGAGTGGACATGCGAGAGGAGCGGCTTCGGAGACCTGAAGAACCAGGGGGCAAACAGTAGCATGATCAAGAGGGCTGATGGGGGCAACCCTCCAAGATTCCAAATAGTATGAGATGGGTCCTGACCACCAGAAAAGGAAAAATTAGACAGGCTAAGTACTAGTGACCGCAAAACTAATTTGTTCATAATCTGCAAACCTGAGAGCTCCTGAGGACAAGGATATCTTCTATAAGAGCATCTTGAGTAAATGGGGGGACCTACAGCCTATATGAAATAATTTCTGGAGAGACCTAATCCCACACCTACCATTCTACAACAATCTTCCCATATCTCAAAACAACATTATAAGGTAAATATCAGTATTCCCATCTGATGGAAGGAAACATTAAAGTTAAAAGAAATTAAGCAACTTGCCCAATGTCACTCAATTACAAGTGTCAGAGCCAGGACGTGAACCAAGGACTGTCAGATTCCAGAGTCTGGGCTTTTATCACAGCTTTAGGAAGCATTACAGAGCCAAGCCTGGGCCACATCATCAGAAACCCAGGGAATCAGCTACCCTATTCTGGAAGAATGCTTAACTGAGAGAAAAATGAGTTATATTTGAATTATTGTCCATTTCTACCTATCTGTGTAGCTTCCCTCCATAAGAAAGAAACAATTCACCTATAAAATGAAAGAAGTCATAAATTTGGAAACAGAACACGTGGTTTCATATGGGCAAAGATCAACTTGTACTGAATTTGAGTCTACTAATTTAGGCTGATCTGATGGCTCTATATAATCCATGTCTTTCATAAAGAGCATGAATTATTACAATTTTCCTATTTCCCAAAAGATTTGTAATCTTGTGTTTCATTTATACTATTCAATAACATGCACCTTTATTAAGATTTTTTTCCATTACAAGGCGCTGTGGCAATACCCCTTGGGGTTGTGCATGTGAAGTGAGACCACAGCCACTCCATCTCTCCTGCGTGCCAGCAAGAGAGGGCCAGCACCACAACCCTCCTGCCCAGCCCAAGCTCACAACTGCACCACCTTCTACCCTGGGCCCCCAAGAACTTGAAGCTCCAGCCAAGTAGTTGTCTTGGCCCCTGAGGGAGCTAGACCACGTAGGGCAATGATATTCTCCGCACTGGGATAGGCCATGCAGGTACAGCTGGCTCTGAACAATAAGCTGGATTTCTTGGGCAGTTTGTGCCAATAGCCACCCACTATGGTCACAGACTACTATAGTCAAAGTAGGCTTATGCTGACTTCTGCAGAGAAATCCCAGCCATCCTACCCCACCCCCAGATCTCCATAGCACCATCGACTCTACTTCTAAACAGTCCAGACCTAGCTTTTCTCACAGCCTGCTCACCACCTCACTCCAAGGCATATTGTTCCCCCGAGAAAAGAAAAGAAACGTGCCAATGGCTGATTACTGTTCTGGATTCTACAACAAAGACTTCTAGACCAGTCAGCAAATTTCCCAGATGCACCAGGTCCCTGAGATGTTTGCCCAAGAGCTGTAGGCTAGATGGCTGGATGATTTTTTTTTTAACTGCTTTGAAGAATGACTGACATATAAAAGCTATAGATATTTAATGGTTACAACTTAATGAGTTTGGAGATAAGTATACACTCATAAAACCATCACCACAATCAATGCCAAAAACTTACCCATCACCTCCAAAAGTTTCTTCCCACTCCCTTTATGTTTTTTTTTCTTTTGAGATAAGAGCACTAATATAAGATTTACCCTTACATTAAAATTTTAGTAGACAATGCAATATTGTTCATTATAGGCCCTATGTTGTGCATTAGATCTTCAGAAATTATTTATCTTGCATAATTGAAACTTTGTACCCTTTGACCAATACCTCCCCTTAGGTTGGCTTCTTCCTCACTGAGGAAGATAGGGCAAAACTCAGCTCACAAAGAAGCCACCTGCTAAACTGGAACAATAAGACTACTTCACAGTGTCCTGAGCCCTAGGAACATCATTCTGGGCACAACCCATGACAATAAGCCAATAAAAATGCATTTACCTTCCTTCGGAGCAGGAATTTTGGAGTTAATTGATCTGCGTTTTTGTTTCTGAAAAACAAAACACACCACCACCATTTATGGCTCTTATTAATTCTGAAGAGCCCATAATGCTGTGATGAAGTCCAAGGCAGTCTCAGAAAACAACCCAGCAAAGAACCAACAAGCCAACGAAATCCTCTGGGGCAATGGCTACAGCCAGATGACAGGCACCTACCATTACATTCACCTGCAAGGGCAGATTATCCTTCGGGTGTAAGGGAAGAGGCTGTAAAAGTTCTGGGTTTATTGCGGCCACATCATCAAAATCAATCTGCAAGGAGCAAATTAAGTTTCAGTGAAATAACATAGCTTGTTTAATCCAATTGCATCTCTGCAGTCAAGGTTACTTCTAGATTCAGACTTTACCAACTTTAAGTTCCAACAAGTATTAACAGCTATAAACAAATATTTATTCCTTAGTTGTAGTTTACCATCTAGATGGATATTGGTTTCTGATTTCCAAGCTAATGGTAGATGTCAGTGACGAGAACGAGGTGAAGAGGAAGACAGGCAGGCAAACAGTCAGGTAGTCCACAGTAGATCTAGGGCACCTGGCACCCCTACTGTTATGCTGGGCAGTGGGATCCTGCTGGGCAAGAACACTAATATAAGATCTACTTCTTGCTGGCTGACACGAAGGAGGAAACAAGTTCTAACTGTCCCAGTGATAGTCAAAATGAAGGCCCTTTCAGGATCTTATGGGCAGGGACAAGTTCCAGAGAGCTGCTACCTAACCCTAAGTTTACCTACATTTTCTAATAGGCCCAGAAACTCCTTCCCAAGTCACAGTGTCCTGCTCATGCCTGCAATGAGGTCACAATTCTAGGTTTACATCACCAGAGTCCAGAAACTCTCTAGGAACAACTCAAACACACCAGGGTGAGAGCTTTACCCCTGCTTATTAACTGGCTTATTCAAAAATTTATTATGCATAAGTAAGGCAGTAGAAAGAAAGCATTCGAAGATGAATTAAGACGTATATCGCCCTTGCCTTCAGTGAGCTCACTTTCTAATGGGGGGAGAGAAGTCATATGTACAAAGGGCTAGAAACCAAAACAGCATGAGATAAACAAGAAAAACAGAATGACCAAATGCAAAAGCTGGCAAGTGCTTCAGTGACCATACTTCTATCCACTTTTTTTAGACAGCTACAGACCCTTACTACACACCCCTCCCCCATTTCCAATCCCTAAACTACAGAGAGCATAGACAACACAGGAGACCAGAGCCATAATCCTACTTCTGACATGAACCGATTTTCACATTGATGATTAAGGGTGAACATCCAGAGGAAGCAATGAGTGTGAAGGCAGCAAGGCACTAGGCATGGGCAGAGTGAGGAGCTGCCCCATTTGCCCCTGGCACAGAATACTTTGTGTGATACAAAGAAAAAGGTTGATTTCAGATCTTGAAAAGCTTTAAATGCCTCACAAGAAGTTTGGACCTTATTGCACAGGCAATATTAGAGCTGGAGTGAGACCCAACATGAGCTTTATTTCTTTAAAAAAATTTTTTTTTCATTATTGATTTGAGAGGGAGAAGAAGAGAGAGATAAAAACATTGATGAGAGCCCTGGCCGGTTTGGCTCAGTGGTTAGAGTGTTGGCCTGTGGACCAGAGAGTCCAGGTTCAGTTCCTGCTAAGGGCACGTACCTCAGTTGCGGTTTATCCCCAGCCCCGGTTGGGGTCGTGTGGGTGGCAACCACTTGATATGTCTCTTACATTGATGTTTATCTTTCTCTCTTCCTCCCTCTCTCCCTCTTGCTTTATCTGAAAATAAATGAAAAAAAAAAAAAAAAAAAAAAAATGTCCTCAGGTAAGGATTAAAAAAAAAAAAAAGGAACATGGATGAGAGAGAACATTGACTGGCCGCCTCCTGCATGCCCCCCACTGGGGATTGGGCCCACAATCTGGGCATGTGTCCTGACCCGGAATCGAACCAGCGACCTCTTGGTGCATGGGTCAATGCTCAACCACTGAGCCACACTGGCCAGGCAACAGCTTTATTTCTAAACAACCCCCGCCCGAGAAAAGTCATAATTTTAGGAACTTCTTTATTCAAGGGCAGATAATGTAAATTATTCGGTTCTTTTATTTCTCAAATATACCATCTAAATATCTGCATACCTACCACAAGACACCTTGCTAAGTAAGCCCTTTACATGTGTTATCTAATTAAGCTCCATGAAATAGGGTCCAGGTCTGTCTTACCCACCCCGTTCTGTATCTCCAGCACCTAACATACTGTCTACCCCTCCCCTCTTTTTTGGTATTGTATTTTCTCGTCTGGCATTTTGGAACTGGCACAAAAGGATTAGTTGAATAAATCCTCACAACAACCCTATAAGGTAGATACATCATCCTCATTTTATAGATGAGGAAACTGAATTTCTAAGAGGGGCAGAAACATGCCTGAGAACATATAAAGTTGTGTCAAGAGACAGACTAGAATCCAGGTTTTCATACTCCTAGCCTGGTGACCTCTTCACTGCACTGCAATGCGTCTAAAATATAAAGGTCTTAGACATAGCTCTCCTCTCCACAAAATCCTTCCAAGGCACCACACTGGTTACAGAATAAAATCTCAAATATCTTATTGTCAAAGATGAAGACCCAGCAACCTGAGCCTTCTACTGCCTAGAGCAAGCTTCTTCACTAGTCCCCATGAGGGCCATCTGCTAAACTTGCCTGCCCACTCCCACAAGTCTAGCTCATCCTCAATGAGTTCCACCTCCGAGCTGCTCTAGCACTATTCACCTGTGCCATTTATCACAAGTAGTGTTTCAGAAACATACTTTTGTCTTCTCAACTAGGTTATCCATTTTGCTCCCCAAACAATTATACGCATTAAGAAGCTAGCTTGGGCCCTGGCCAGTTTGGCTCAGCGGTTAGAGCGTCGGCCTGCGGTCCGGAGAGACCCGGGTTCGGTTCCCGCTAAGAGCACGTACTTCGGTTGCAGTTTGTGCGGGTGGCAGCCACTCGATGTGTCCCTTCACGTCAATGTTTCTCTCTCTCTCTCTCCCTTCCTCTCTCTCCCTCCCACTCTATCTGTACAAAAAATGGAAAAATATCCTCGGGTGAGGAAAAAAAAAAAGAAGCTAGCTTGGGCCCTGGCCGGTTTGGCTCAGCGGTTAGAGCGTTGGCCTGCGGTCCAGAGAGACCCGGATTCGGTCCTTCCTAAAGGCATGTACCTCGGTTGCAGTTTGTCCCCGGCCCTGGTTGATCGTGCAGGTGGCAGCCACTCGATGTGTCCCTTTCACATTGATGATTCTCTCTCTCTCTCTCTCTCTCTCTTCCTCTCTCTCCCTCCCACTCTATCTGAACAAAAAATGAAAAAATGTCCTCGGGTGAGGATAAAAAAAAAGTAAAATAAAAAAACAGAAGCTGGCTTGGGTGAGCGAGGTTTTAGGATTCTGCATAGTTTGCTTTCTACAAACACCAGAAACTGTTGACTGTTTCAAGTTAGAACAGGCTTTCCTAAACAAAATCCCAATGCATCCAAAGAGGTTTTTGAGATCAGAGAGGACAACACAGCATCAAAAACAAGGCTCTCAGCCAAGGTTGTGGGTTCAATCCTCAGTCAAGGCACATAAAAGAAACAACGAGTGTTGTTTTTTCTCTCTCTCAAATCAATAAATAAAGATGTTTAAAAGAGGCTCTCATACCCGGCCAGTGTGGCTCAGGATTGAGCATCGACCCATGGACCCTGGTTCAATTCCTGATCAGGACACATGCCCAAGTTTTGGGCTCGATCCCCAGGGGGGGGCGTGCAGGAGGCAGCCAATCAATATTTGTCTCTGACATCAATGTTTCGATCTCTCTCTCCCTTCCTCTCTCTCTCTCTCTCTCTGAAAAATCAATAAAAACATATGTAGTCTAGCCGGTATGGCTCAGTGGTTGAGTGTCGATCCATGCATCAAGAAGTCGCCAGTTCGCCCTGGCCAGTTTGGCTCAGCGGTGAGTGTCAGCCTGCAGTCCAGAGAGACCCCAGTTCGGTTCCCACTAAGGGCATGTACCTCGGTTGCAGTTTGTCCCCGGCCCTGGTTGTGTGGGTGGCAGCCACTCGATGTGTCCCTTTCACGTCAATGATTCTCTCTCTCTCTCCCTCTCCCTCCTTCCCACTCTATCCGAACAAAAAAAAAAAAATAGAAAAGTGTTCTCGGGTGAGGATTTAAAAAAAAAAAAAAGATGAAGTTGCCAGTTCGGTTCCTGTCAGGACATATGCCCAGTATGTGGGCCCGATCTCCAGTGGGGGGCATGCAGGAGGTGGCCAATGTTCTCTCTCATGGATGTTTCTATCTCTCTCCCTCTCCCTTCCTCTCTCTCTAAAATCAATAAAGGAAAAATAAATAAATAAATAAATAAATAAAAACATATGTAAAAAAAAAAAAAAAGGCTCTCACAAGTTCCATTTTCACACAGACCTTTTATGTAGAACCTACCTCTTTGCCCTTTGTGGCACCTCCTTCTATCCATTCCACTGAAACACAGGCTTTCTCCAAGTCCACAGTCCTTACATTGGCACTGTGAATTAAGCCTATAATATGAAAAAGCCAGAGTTATCCATCATTTTCACTTTTAAGATCCCACGGAGATTCAATGTGGAGTTGACCTGAAGAAAAGGATAGCTGCCATTCTCTTTTTAACAGTAGGAGACAAATAAAGCTCCTAGCATTTCGCCCTTAGAACATCCCATAGTGAGGTAGGCAGAAAACAAGTCTTAAAACCGAGTTGCGGGGATAAGGATTCAGTTTCACTCAAAAGGGAGCCTACAAAGTAGAGTGAAGGTATTTTGGGGCAGGGGAGTCACTCTAGTCCTTGGGTGAACTGTTCCTCAACACAGCACTGAGGCTCTAGCGGCCTCGGGTTTCTCTACTTCACTCCTGACGGTTCTTCTAATGACACGGGTATTAGACCTGCCAGAGCTGCGGTAGCTGCTTAACCAGAGAGAAAGAATTGCAAGCTCTTGAAGTGCAGAAATCTGGTCTGTCTTGTTACACTGAATCCCAGTACCTGACATATGGCAGGTGCGCAATGTTTATAGAGAGTAGAGAGGCAAGGAAGCCGAGGTCCCTGCAAGACCACGGCAGTTTCAGGGGAGAATTTTGGAAGGAAAATTACTTTGGCAATCCTAACTTCCCTGGAAGGACCACAGTCCCGGTGGAGCCCCGCCTACTCCCAGGGGACAGGGAGGGCACCAACCGCCAGTGCAGGGGCCCCTGACCCTGGCTAGTGAAGACCGATTGCCAGTGCACAGACCCGGATCTGTGGGGTGAGGGGAATCCCTAACAGTGTCTCAGGGCCCTGCCGTTTAGGGAAGGGGAGTAATTTCAGCAGTCTCACAGCACACGGGTCCCCTGGTCTCGGGGCCCCGCCTCTTACCATTACTGCGTTGGATCTTGATGTCGAGACCGGGAAACAGGCGGGCCTGAAGCGACGAGTCCATTGGGCAGTCGGCAGGTGCACCGGGGGGGGAAAAAACCACCAAACTGTAAGAATCCACAACTCTGCTAACCCTACAAAGTCTTAACGCCGCGTAAACCGCCGCAGTTTAAATCCCGCGCGCCAGCGTCGCTCAACGTCATCACGCTGTCGCCAGCCTCGCTTCCGCCAATCAGCAGCGCCCCGCGGAGCCTTTCGGGATTCGTAGTCTCGGTCGGTTTTCCGGCACCTAGGACCGCCCACCTCCGAGAGCAGAGCCTGCTGGGAACTTCCGGAGCCTTCGGGCTGCGTGTTTGTTGCTATTGGCGTTATGCCAGAGGACTCCAGTATTGCTGGGTTCCACAAAACTGGAAACATCAGTACGGTGTTTGAGTGAGGGCTCTGGGGACCTACAAAGGTGGGTTCCAGTCCCGACACCTTTAGTTCTAGCTCAGTGACCGCGGACACAGAAACTTCACTCTCAGTTTCCTTCTTTGCACATGGGAAGCATGTGTCCTCCTTCGCTGAGTTATTGCTAAATATAAAGGAGCGACTAAGGTTAAAGTGCATGGAAGGCCCTGGCCGGTTTGGCTCAGCGGTAGAGCATCGGCCTGCGGTCCGGAGAGACCCGGGTTCGGTTCCCGCTGGGGGCACGTATCTCGGTTGCAGTTTGTCCCCGGCCCTGGTTGGTTGTGCGGGTGGCGACCACTCGATGTGTCCCTTTCACATCGATGTTTCTCTCTCTCTCTGTTCCTCTCTCTCCCTCCCACTCTACCTGAACAAAGAATGGAAAAATGTCCTCGGGTGAAGATGATAAAAAAAAATAAAGTGCATGGAAGGCACAGAGTCACTAGGTAGCTAATGTGTCTGCCACGGTATTGTGTGCTAGAAATGGTGGTAGGTGCTGGAGATAGCTCTTTTTGTTTGTTTGCTTTTTGGAGATAGTTCTTGCCCTTCTTGATTTAACATTCTAATATGAACAGAGAACAAAAAGAAGTAAAATTAAGAATTGTGGTAAGTGCTCTGAGGGAAACTGAGGGCTGGAATAGAGAATAATGGAGGAGCCTACTTTAGAAAAAGTGGCCAGAAAAGAAATATTTGAAGTGATATTTAACTTGAGTCTAGAAAACAAGAACAGGCCATATCAAAATGGAGGGCAGAGAGGTGGAGAGCCTTCCAGACTAATATTTGAGAATAGAGTCTGCAAAGGCTCCGAGGCAGGAAAAAACTTAGTTTGGAAGAACTGAAAGAAGCCATTGTGGCTGGAAGGCAGTAGGTAAAGGGGAGAGGAGTGAAATCATTTAGCATCTGTCTTGTACCTTCTAGTAATAATTTTGGTTTTTATTCTAATGAGAAGTAGTTGAAGTTTAGGCAGAATGACAAGATCAGAGTTGCGCCCTGGCCTGTTTGGCTCAGCGGTTAGAGAGTCGGCCTGTGGTCCCGGGAGACCCGGGTTCGGTTCCCGCTAAGGGCACGTACCTCGGTTGCAGTTTGTCCCCGACCCTGGTTGGTCGTGCGGGTGGCAGCCACTCGATGTGTCCCTTTCACATCGATGTTTCTCTCTCTCTCTCTCTCTCTCTCTCTCTCTCTCTCAACGGAAAAAAAAAAAAAGATCAGAGTTGCATTTGATGTTATGTATATCCGGCTTGCTGCTGTGTAAACTGATTTGAAGGGAACAAGACTGGAAGTGAGGCCATTTAGAAGGAAAGAGTATGCCCACCTAGCCTGGGGTAGTGACACTGGAAATGTAGTTGAGAGAATGGACTAACAGTGTATCTTGTTTGGGAAATGGAGTGAATGGGTCTTGCTGATGGGTTTGTGAAAAGATTTCAATCTAAAATGAAACAGGGGGCCTTGGCCTGTTTGGCTGAGTTGATAGAGCATCCCCTGGCGCATGGAAGGTCACAGGTTCAATTTTCAGTCAAGGGCGCTACTTGGGTTGCAGGTTCAATCCCTGGTTCTGGTCAAGTGTGTTGTGGAGGCAACCAATTGATGCGTCTCTCACGCTGATGTTTCTCTCCCTCTCTCCTTTCCTCCCACTCTATCTAAAAGTCAATGGGGAAAAATGTCCTTGGGTGAGGATTAACAAGAAAACAATAATAAGATGAAACTGGAGTATATGAAATGGAGAATCTCACACCTGCCCTTGGAGGAAAGGAACTTAACCGAGAGACTGATTTCCCATAATTGCCTGATTTACAGAAGATGGAAAGACTTACTCCTGACCAGTGAACACCCACTAAGAATCTCTCCTCATCCTTAAGCCAATGAAATTACTGCTTAGACTCTGGCTGAATTTCCCCCTCTGTGCTGTTTGCCCGAATCTACATCCTGTCCCAAACCCTCAACAGACTAGCCTCTAGCCTGCTATAGCATGGGTTTCCAAAACTGCAACTCCTCTGCTGTTCCCAAACATTCAATTTCTGGTAATCTGAGTTTGCTTCATTTTACCTCTTTGTTTAGATCGACAGATTGGGTGTGGGTGTGAGGAGAAGGGGTAATCATGGATGACTCTTGGTTTCTGGCTAGAGACACTGAGTGGATGATGAGCCATTTTCCTGAACTAGGGGAATGAGGTTGTGAGGCAAACGGTGGGAGTGGGGTGGCTGAAGGATTCATTTTGGTCATGTTGAGTCAGCTATCCAAAAGACTTCAGAGTGAAGATATCAAATAAGCAGTTGGATATACAAGCTAGGAGCTCAAGGAGAGATCAAGGCCAGAGATAAAGATTTGGCAGTCATTTTATCTCATTTAGAGTCAGGGAACTGAAGGAGATATTCTCGGGTGAGAGCATGGAGGTGAGAAGACCCATAATTGAGCCATAAGGCATACTAACATTTTGAGGTTGAGCAGAGGAAGAGAAGCAAAGATGAGATTAGAGTTGTTTGAAGGGATGAGGAAAACCAGGGAGTGGAAGCCTGGGAAGAAGTGAACAAAAAACTAACTCTACAGAAGGCAGTTAAAATGAAGACATGGAAGTTTTTATTTTTTAGTTTTTTTAAATTGATTTTGGGAGAGAAAGGAGTACTGATTTGTTGTTCCACTAATTTATGTATTTATTGGTTGCTCCTTATATGTGCCCTGACCAGGGATCAAACCTCCAACCCTGGCCTATTGGGATGATGCTCTGACCAACTGAGCTACCCAGCCAGGATCATAGAAGTGTTCTTTAGATTTGTCAGCACTGCCCTGGCTGGTGTTGCTCAGTTGGTTGGGTGTTGTCCTGTGCACTGAAAGGCTAAGGGTTTGATTCCCCATCAGGGCATATACCCAGGTTTTGGGTTTGATCAGGAGGTAACTGATGTTTCTCTCTCACATTGATGTTTTTCTCTCTCTCCCTCTCATCTCCCCCTTCCTCCCTCCCTTTCACTCTCTCTAAAAATCAATGGAAAAAATATCCTCAGGTGAGAATAAACAACAAAAGGATGGTGCACTGGTCAGTGTGGCTCAGTTGAGTGTCATCCCATGCACCAAGAGGTCAGCTAAACTTGGGGCATATGGCTGGGTTTCGGGCAGTCCCCATTAGGGGGCATGCAGGAGGCAGCCAATCGATGTTCTCTCTAATCACTGTTTCTATCTCTCTCTCCCTTCCTCTTTCTGTAAAGTAAATAAAGAAAAAAAATTTTTTTAAATAAAGAAAACAAATTAAACACACACACACACACACACACACACACACACACACACATCCCTGAGAAATCTGCCTCAGTGGATTGAGCGTCATCCCATGGACTGAGAGGTTCTGGTTGGATTCCCAGTCAGGGCCCATGCTCAGGTTGCAGGCTCCATTTCCTGTAGAGGGTGTACAGAAGGCAGCCAACTGATATAGCTCTCTCACATGGATGTTTCTATCTCTTCCTCCCACCCCCCAAAAAAATAAATAAAAACACATTTAAAACAAAACAAAACGGAGAAATCCATGAGACAGAAGGTGGTTGGGAGCCAGTTGTGGGGAGACTAACTGCAGCCAGAGTGGAAGAGGGTCAGGTGCCTTGAGATGGGGGTGAGGCTGAGGGAGAAATTTTTTTAGTTGTGTTCACCACTGCCCCTTCCCTCCCTGCCCCCTCCCCAAGGTCCTGGGTGGATCATCACCTGATCCATTGCCTCAATCCATACATGGGTTGAATAGCAGAATGATTACAGCCCAAATGAAAGGATGAGCAACAAGACCAGGGTGAGGATTCATCCAAAAGGCATCAGGAAGTGATAATGAAAACAAGGAAGATAGAAAACAAATGAGCCAGTTGTTTGTGACACACGCTGTTGGTGGATAATCCAATAGCCATTCCCAGGCCCCTTCTTCCTTACTCATCTCCACATTGGAGACTGAAAAAGCCACATACTTGCTTTCCCAGATTCCCATGCAATTACACCTGGCCATATGACACAGTTCTGGCCAATGAGATATATAGCAGGAGTGTTCTGGGGGACTTTCTGGGCAGTGTTGTAGACCAACGAGACAGACCAGACTCAGACTCTGAACTGGGTTCAAATTAAGAGAGCTTTATTAGCCGTTCGGCAACTGTCCCATCCTACACAGAGGAGAGAGCAGCCCCGAGCTCAGCGGGAGGGTTGCTTATATAGTTGTCTTAGCCCCTGTTAAGGAATTTGGGTTAAGGGTATGCGAGCAAGCAAGCACGTACAGAAGCAGATATTTGCAGTTAGCTGTTATGCCTGAGGGAGCAGGCAGTTTCTGTGTACACAAAGCAATGGTTATCTATACAATGCAGTGGTTATCTATTAGCAGCTAGTTCTTGCCATTCCCTTAAAATCCAGGGGGTAAGGTCTGCCTAATGGAAAAATTTTCTGTACATTCACATAGCATGTGTTTGTCCTTTACAGGATATGTTGTTTATTAATAGAAGGGAATGGCATGAGGATGCTTTGCTTATAACATCTCATCCCCTTTTTTTTTTTTTTTTGCCTTGGACATGGATGTTGTGTTTGGAGGTGTGACAGCTGCCTCTGATCATGAGGTAGGTTGATAGTTATCAGATAAAAAAATCCAACACACACTCTGGCCGATTTGGCTCAGCGGTTGGAACGTCAGCCTGCGGACCAGAGTCCCAGGTTCGATTCCAGCTAGGGCCACATACCA